AGGGGGGGAAGGAGGGACGGGCGAAGGGGGGGGGGTGAATAGTGTAAGGGTCAGAAATAAGCAGAGACTTAATGAGTGCAATCTAGCAGGTTTATGGAGATGCTTTCTGACGTTATTTAGTATTTACCCATGATGTCCTTCTTTCTTACGTTATTTAATATTTAGTATTTAGTATTTAGTATTTAGTATTTACCCATTGCGTCCTCCTTTATTTCGTTTGGCCGCTCACTTCTATATTTGTTGATCAAACGTAATATCATTTGCCTTGTTTGACCGATGGTAACAATTTTCATAAATATCTTCGGTCTTGCTTGGCCAATTATGTTTGACGGTTTGAAGGGGACGGGGAGGGGGGGGCGGGGGGGGTGTTGATTTATGTAGAGGTTAGAACTCAATAAACGGGTCCAGCCAATCACCAGAATGATGGATGGACAGACAAATAGACAGGGCTGGAAAAGGGTTACCCTATTCGCCTGGTTTACGGTTTTAGAACCACTAATCAACTTAACTGACTGGCGGAAGTACCCTGGTTTACCTCCGATCAACTAACAGGCAAGGCAGACAGGCAGACATTAGGAAGGCAAATAGACCAGGGGACTGGATGACTAACCCATAACTGAACCCTGGTTTAGGGTTTGAAAACCCATAGATGGACCGTACCAGCACAGCAATCCGCTAAACACACATGCAGTCAGTCAGGCAGGTAGGCAGGCAGGTGCGCAGGCAGACAAATAGACCGACCAACTGACGGACGGACGGACTGACTGACTCGGCGGTTTAGGGTTTGAAAACCCATATGTGGACCCGACCAGCCAAGCAATCAGCTAAGCACACAAGCAGTCAGTCAGGCCCCTTCCACCCCTTCCTCTTCCCTGTCATCTGCGTGCCTCTGTCCTATGGCGTGAGAGGCCACTAAGTAATGAGTGAAGAGAGGATTAATGTTGCTGAAAAGAAGTGTTGCTTGGCTATGGCTGACAATACGTTGCAAAGTAGTATAACAGTACTATAACTCTTATGCAAGCACAGAGGTCCTGCGGTGTGAGTGAAAAAGAGCTGTGCTGCTAAGAAAAGGAGTGGAAATCCGCTATGCAGTTCTCGCGAAGTCGCTGCACTATGAGTGAAGAGCGAGCCCGCAGCAAAAGAAAAGAAAAAGTGCTTGCGCTGCGGTAATTGAGAATCAGCTGACAGCACTCATCCACTATGAGAGATCCACCACCTAGTTGTGGTGAGATGAATGCGAACACTACTAATCACAGCTGTTTGGTACTGCTTGCTACTCCGCTTTTGGCCCAGCGGGGATGCTGGCCGGGAGTTTGGTATCATGTCGGACGGCGCGGTGTCCGAGCCAGCACACCCAGTTTGTGTCCTCCTCCTGGACTGGTCCGACTGGCGCTCCCACTGGCAAAAGGAGGGGGTGCGCCACTGGGCTTTCCTTTGGTCCATGCGGGCTCGGAGCCCTGCTATACAACAGAGCAGAACCGGCCCGTGCTCGTGGTAGCCGCCGGGCTCTCCCAGGGGCGTGAAGGTAGTGGGACCGGCGCGGCCTTTTCCACTGCCTGCCGAGTTCAGGCAGGTGCACAGGCAGACAAATAGACCTAAGGACTGAGCGACTGACCGACTCCGTGAACCCTGGTTAAGGGTTTTGAAAACCTATGGACAGACCAAACCACTCAACCGATTAGTTAACATGCAGGCAGACAGGCAGGCAGAGATACTGGTTGACTGACTTACCCTTGGATTAACTCTGGTTCAGGTCTTAAAGCACCAGTACATGGGCGCCTTGGCCGCGGGCCTGACACCTCAAATTCTGGAAGCGCGAAACAGAAACGCGACCGCCGATCCAATTTATTAACGGCAGGCCCAGCGTTTGATGTTTCGGTCTCGTTTCCTTGTGGCGACAAGTTCCGGTACCTACAAGGCTGGGGCCGTGTACTAGTGCTTTAAGCAGGCACACAGGCAGACAAATAGAATAACTGACCGACTGACTGACTGATCGACTTAACCCTTGTTTAGGCATGCAAACCCCCGAATGGAGCTAACCAGTCTGACCAATCTGATCGGTTAACAGGCAGGCAGACATACTGGCTGGCAACCCGTTGATGAACCTTGGGTTAGGGTCTTTGGTTTCAAGACAAATGATATGTAGTATTATGTACCCCATTGAGCGCGTACTAAGTACATAGGCTTACTACTAGATGTTATATTTACTCCACTGAGTGTGTACTATGTAGATACGTCTGCTAGACTACTACTACATAGTCTGGTGAGGGCATGGGCCCGCTATGTACATTGGTCTACCACATAGTCCTCTGCGGACACTTTCTATCTATGCCGCTGACTGCATGCTGACTGCGTACTCTGGACATCGGTCTACTCCGTAGTCCACTGACAACAACTGCTATCCACCTCACTATGCGTGTGCTATGTTCAGAGGTGTGCTACTCCTGCCTAGTCCATTGAGGACAACTGCTATCTACCCCCCAGAATGTGTACCATGGGCTACTCCTGCACATAGGTCCTGCTATCTACTCCTCAGAGTACGTACTATGTACATAGGTCCTGGTATGTACCCCTCGGAGTGCGTACTATGGATATAGGTGCTGCTATCTACGCATAGGTCCTGGTATGTACCCCTCGCAGTGCGTACTATGTATATAGGTGCTGCCTGCGTAGTACGCCGAACATGTTCAGCGCCCCACCGAGCAGCCAAACATGTTCGGACGCTCGGCCGAGCGGGAACCGAACATGTTCGGCCGAGCGCGAATTAGGGGGCTGAACACATCTTCGTGTGTGTCTGGTGTGTCGGGTGTGTGTGGTGTGTGTGTGTGTGTGTGTGTGTGTGTGTGTGTTCAGGAGTGATGAGCAATGGCCCCCAGGGGCCCCCAACCCCTATACATAAAAATTAAAAGAAAAAAAAACGCAAATGTTTGGGCTCGGTCGATTTTGGGCCACGTTTGAGCTCAGTACCGTGCGTTCGGGTTCGGTCACTGAGCCCGAAGGCGATGCTACACAGGGTGCTGCTATCTACCCCTGGGAGTGCATACTATGTACACAGGTGCTTCTATCTACCCCTTCGAGTGCATACTATGTACACAGGTGCTGCTATCTACCCCTCCGAGTTGCGTACTATGCGCATAGGTGCTGCTACTAGCCCTCGGAGAGCATACTATGCACGTACACATGTCTTGCTATCTACCCTTGGAGTGCGTACTATGTACATAGGTCCACTACTACGTACTCTGGTGGAGGTATTGGTCCACTCTTATCTATCTATCCTATCTCAACAGTTCAGATACTTCATCATCATACAGACTGCTAAATCCTCATTAGTGATGACTACCTTCTTCCCCCAAATACAACGTACGTCGTACGGTAATTATAGCTGTATCTGGGGTATATTTCAGTCTAAATACAGCTATAATGACTGTACCTTGTATTCTGGGGAAGAAGGTAATGCACTGATTAATCTGGATTCAGGTAAACATTTTCAGCCTCGGCTATATGGCTGCACTTTTTTTTTTTTTTTTTGCAAAAATGATAAACATCTTGATTCTTGACCATGATTGACTTTTGTTTTTTGGACCTGACCTCGTGCAATCGCTGTCGATGCTTTTGTGGCAGCATGGCCGGCGAAAATCGACAGATGCGCATTACGAAAATCGTCATCCTTGCAGATGATTTACACATAGTGTCATCCAGTCGAGACCGGACAGTGAGATGTTGGAAGGTTAAGCAATCGAGGAGCTTCGCCTCCCGGTTTGAAAAAGTCGGTGCATTGAACGGTGTTGCCATTTCTCCGGACCAGGTACGGTTAATCCATCACGAGCGACTGTTGTAGTACGCATATGCGTTGTATTCGAGTTTCAAAATTTTAAAAAAAAATCGAATAGAACGCATATGCGTAGTATTTGAAATTTCGGGCTATTCGAATAGAACGCATATGTGTTGTATTCGAATAGAACACACCCTATGTGTTGTATTACGCATATGCGTTGTATTCGAGTTTCAAAATTTGAAAAAAAATCGAATAGAACGCATATGCGTTGTATTTGAAATTTCGGGCTATTCGAATAGAACTCATATGTGTTGTATACGAGTAGAACACACCCTATGTGTTGTATTCGTTTACAAATTACGACGCATATGCGTTATGTTCGGGGGAAGAAGGTAGTCTCTTTCTTTTGGCCTTTTTATGATGTGGGTGTTGATTTCCAATGTGCTGTTTCCGGATCATGGGCGTGGAATCTTGTATTTGACTCCCGCTGCTCCTGCCGCTGCTGCTTCTGCAGCTGTACATTGTCACAGCCGGGCAAGACCGGAAGATCACCGTGTGGGACATGAGGGAAAGGGAACCCGCAATCGAAATTACGGAAGCGCACCGAGGAGAGGTCACTTGCGTGGCGATTCCCAGCAAGTGAGTGCAGATTGCAGATGCATTCCTCCCCCCCCGTCTTTCCCCCCCCCCCCCCCCTTCCGCCGCCCCCTTTCCCCCCTTTTCACCCTGCTTGTCTTTGGATTTTTTTTTCTGAGTGCAGAAGCTGTATCATGTCACTGGCCAGCAACTTCAGATTTATCCTTTTTTTTTTTATTCCTTTTTTGCCTTAATAGTAAACTTTAGCTGTTTATTTACTGATTTCTTCAGTCTACTAAAAGAGAATCATAATTAAATTCAGCGCTTACCTTTTGTAACATGGTTCCCGAAAAACAACAGCTTTCTCTTTTTCGTTTTTTTTAATATTTTTTGACTAGCTAAGTTGATTTTGTTTAATAAGGAAGAAATGGGAAAAAACTTCAAAAAAGGCTCAAGAGTCAAAACACACATGCACATCTGAAAACGAACAATTGGTTTCTCAATTAGAAATTAGTAAAATTAATGATCCGCGAATAGTGGGGCATTTGCACAATTTTGCAGCTGAATTTCCTGCCACAAAAGGACCAGACAAGAGAGTTGCTTAAAAAACTAGATCTCCCTAAATGAAAAAAAATAAAATAATTATAATAACAATAAAATTAAATAAATAATAATATAGGCTACCAGAGTGGCCCGGGACAATTCTGGTAGCCGACAGTAGCGAGTAGTAGTTTTTGCTTCGCTTGTTTGAGAAGTTTCTTTCAGGTACTAGGCTCGATCCCAAAGATGTTTCGTGATTCGAATCCGTATTCTTTTTGGAACCGGGTGAAGGTAGTGTGACCGGGCCAGAGAGCTGTAGTAGTATTGTTCAAAGTGGTACGTAGAGTTCGTGCTCACCTAGGTCGAACGGGTCCTGCGAACCGGCGCATCCGGATGCGTCCGGGGGAACAGGAACGGAAGTGGGTTTGGGGAAGACGGGAATGTCGAGGGACGAAGGCCAGTGGAACCCCCTGAGGAAGACAGCGTGGAGGCCGTCGAAACGCGGCATGGTACGTAGAGTTCATGCTCACACGGGTCGAACGGGTCCTGCGAACCGGCGCATCCGGATGCGTCTGGGGGAAACAGGGATGGGAGTGGGTTTGGGGAAGACGGGAATGCCGAGCGACAAAGGCTAGTGCGATCCCCTGAGGAAGACGGCATGGCGGCTATCGAAACGCGGCATGGTACGTAGAGCTCATGCTCACACGGGTCGAACGGGTCCTGCAAACCGGCGCATCCGGATGTGTCTGGGGGAAACAGGGCCGGGAGTGGGTTTGGGGAAGACGGGAATGTCGAGGGAAGAAGGCCAGTGGAACCCCCTGAGGAAGACGGCATGGCAGCTGACGAAACGCAGCATCGTATGTAGAGTTCATGCTCACATGGGTCGAACGGGTCCTGCGAACCGGTGCATCCGGATGCGTCCGGGGAAACAGGGACGGGAGTGGGTTTGGGGAAGACGGGAATGTTGAGGGACGAAGGCCAGTGGAACTCCCTGAGGAAGACGGCGTGGCAGCTATCGAAACGCGGCATGGTATGTAGAGTTCGTGGTCACACGGGTCGAATGGGTCCTGCGAACCGGCGCACCCGGATGTGTCTGGGGGAAACAGGGACGGGATTGGGTTTGGGGAAGACGCGAATGTCAAGGGACGAACGCCAGTGGGACCCCCCTGAGGAAGACGGTGTGGCGGACATCGAAACGCGACGTCGGGGATGCCATACCTGTGATTGTTGTGCTTTTCACTCATTGAATCATACGTACTGTTGTCAAGCGTATCTACATCTTGGTTGCCAACCGGATGTCCGGATCCCGATGCAGACAGTCTGGGTCTGGGTGTCCGGGTCTGGTGTCCGGTATTGGACCCCGCTTTGACAAAATTCCAAAAAAAAAAAAAGGGGTCCACAGGCGATTTTCCCGGGTCTGGCGGAACCCCAAAAATTGTTCTTGTTGTTTTTGGTGGACTGTCAGCCCAACCGGACCAGCCCTGAAGGGCCTGCTGTTGGAAAACTCCAGAAGGCAGCATGATCACGGCTTAGGTTTGAGGTGTTCGTTTCCCGCCGGCGGGAGGACCCCATTTTCCCTGTCATTCCCGTCCTCTCCTCTTGATATCTTCGGGGTACGTAAGAGGAAAGATCTTACCTTACTTCTTTCCTTTCTTTGTCGTTTGTCTCCCTTCGTGATGACCTTTGGAGGAATTCCCCTTGCGATTGGCTCATCCAACCTTTCGCTTCTGTTGCTTGTTTCCCGCCTTGATCCTTTTTCCCTTTACCCTCTCCCCAACATCATCATTCCTTTCCGATCTTCTTGTGGTCTTTGGCCCTTGTGTCAGATTGCCTCTCCCCATTTTTTATTATTTCGTATGTTATTTCTATGTTTATTAGCATTTCCACAAACCTGTGTCTGTTTTTGTTTGTTTGTTGTTTTCATCTGCTTCTTCTTCTTCTTCTTCTTTCTTTCTTTGTTTCTTTCTTTCTTTCTTTCTTTGTTTCTGTCTTTCGTTTTTTTTTTTTTTTTTGATAATCCGGACATCCGGACACCGATTCACCTAACCGGACTGTCAGGGTCTGGATGTCTGGTTGTATGTCCGGTTAACCGGACGTCCAGTTTGATCCAGACACGGTGCCGGTGTCCGGTTGAGTGGATGTCTGTGTCCGGGGCAACCATGGTGTACATGTTTCTGCGTGTTATACATGTGTGACGTGTCTTGTGATACTCTATCACCGGGACCACTTGCCCAGCCGGGTCAAAAAAAAAAAAAAAAAAAAAAGAATCAACTTTTTTATCTTTGTTTTGCTGAAGAATTTCGATGTGACTCTGAGCCAAACGTTTTCCGTTTATTTTTCTGCATAACGTAGTTTTTTTTTCAGATGTTTTCGACTTTTCTTTTCTTTTTTTTGCTGCGACCTTTGGCCCTTCCACGACCGGGCCGCCCGGGCAAACAAGGTGACCCGGGCGGCCCGGCTGGTAGCCTAGTTACTATTAATAATTAAAATTATTCTACGTCTGTTAGAAAGATTGAGTGCGTGCAGATGGATGCCTTCCCTGTGTTATTTGTCTTCAGACTGATTGGGATGCATGTTCAAGTTTTTGCATGCATAATCTGCATCATCATGCAATAAATCGCAGTTTCCCAGTGGGGCTGTACACTAAGTGTTTGGCTTTGTAGTTTGTTTTGCAATCAGACTCATTCTCGTTCACACTTTTCATGCTTGTAAACAGCGGCAAAGCAAACTGGCGACATGCGCCCAAACAAAACTCAAAGATATGGCTTCCAGATACGAGTTCACTTTCAATTGGCTATGGCGACTCAGCGCCCAAACAACTCACTGTTCACACACACCGGATCACCCTGGATATCCCACACGTGTCACTCTAAACACACACATACACACACACACACTTCACACTAAACTACAGCTATGGCAGCTATGGCTGCCTCTACCCTATCGCTATACTAAGCTCCTTCTCTCTCGCCCACTGCGTCCTCCGGGCTCACTGGAGACCTCCTTGCACAAGTCGCTGTGACAGCGCTTCGGCAAGGCTGGGTGCTGCCTCTTGATTTATACTTCGGAAACTCGTTGGTCTGCCCTTTGCCTTCGGCCCATGGTGCTCACAGTCCCCCGTGGTACTTGCTGGACCGGACTGGGACTGACTGGACCTTACCACTGACTGACTGTGGACTCACTGCTAACCTACCGTAGTCGTACTGCAATTCCACTGCAGTTTAGTCCACCACCTTGACTGGCCACTTGACCACTTGCCCACTTGCCGACCTTCTAGAAGGACTACAGCTAGACTTCTGGAACTCGCTAAGACTTCTACTCTACAGACCTACAGATCGAACCCCTGCTACCTATGGACCTATGACAGACCTATCAACTGTCTACGAATATACAGGTCACAGGTTCAACTCTCGGGGTCTACACCGGTACTGTACATGGGTAGGACGAGGTCTAGGGATCGAACCCTGGGCACTGCATCTGCTACTGCTAAAAGGTGAAAACCGTTTCAGTTTTCTTGTTTTGAGCCTTGCGGGACTTGATCATGTGACCTGTACTTTGTGGGGATTCATGTTCAAGTTTTTGCGTGCATAATCTGCATCATCATGCAATAAATCGCAGTTTCCCAGTGGGGCTGTACACTAAGTGTTTGGCTTTGTAGTTTGTTTTCTTGTTTTGAGCCTTGCGGGACTTGATCCTTTGACCTGTACTTTGTATGTGTTTTGTTTGTGAGTGTTGAGCCCTATGGGACTTGATCCCTGAGTCTATCACTATTCGACCTTTTCCTTTGCCTTGTCATAGGTCTAGGTCCCCCTTTCCCCCTGTTTCCATCTTAATGCAGATGAGTATTCCGTTGTTGCCTTTGGAATCCGTCGTAGGTCTAGGCAGAGGGTAGAAGTAGCGGGCAGGAAATTTGGTCTGGGTCTTTTCACGTTTTCGTTGGCTGGGGAAACTTTGCCCGTCCGTTGTTGGAGCGCTGCTGCTCTGTTTTGGGCGAGGTCATCTTCTTCCTCGAAGCCCAGCCATAGCTGGGGTTGGGAAACGAAGTTGAAGATCGCACTGCTGCTATTTCGCAGCTCTGCATGAGAGCTTCCACAGGACTGTGTTGTTGGGTTTGGGTGCTGCCATCTTCCACTTGGCAGCCATATCTGCTGTTCCTCCTCTCGAGGAACTTTGTCTTCTTCTTCGAAGTGCTGGATCGGTTGTCTCCTTCTTCATCAGGACTTCCAGCGCTGCACTTCTCTGCGGGTGCTGAGCTGGCGCTGTTATCATTATGGTTGCTGGTTCAGATTGGCACGTTGTGACAGCTGTGGGGTTACTGCTGCTACGGCAGCCATAGCCAGCGGTATGAGGTGGCAAGGAGGAAGAAGAAGACTCCTGCATACTCTTTGTAGATTACTTGTTTTTGGTTGTTCGGGGTTATTGTAAACGCGGTTGTGATTCTTGGAACAAGTACTCTGGATTGATTGGAGGAGGACGAGGGATTGCAGAATTTAAATTCGTTTTTGAATTCTCTGTGTATTTTGAGCTTCCGCTGTGCATATCTTCTTTCCGGTTTTGTGTGGATTTGCCTCCTTCGAGTCTACTCTGCAATTGCATCAGTGTATGGGAACGTGTGAATTCGTTGTGGATTGAAGTTCAATCGGGTACATAACAATCAGATGCAGACGCTTCCCAATCGGTCTATTCGCCCAACCAATTCCGATGCACCTCAATCGGTCTGAAGGGTTATCCAAAGCACTGGAGCACATAATTGATGACGAACTTCCTGGACGTATCCTACTTGACATACGTCTCGATTCAGGTGCACAATCCTCCGAAAAATTCGACTGGCAAAGCCACGGGTGTACTAAGCCCAGTGCACACTATATCGTTCCTGCATTTATCCCGTACTTGGTCCAGATTCAGTCAAGAAAGTCGTAGCGTATTCCGTGGAACATACCCATATGGGTTGTATTGGAGCTTTCGAAAAGTTCAAAAAACTCAAATTGAATGCATATGTGTTTTTTTTTTTTTTTTTGAATGCATATGTGTTCATTGTGCTGTATTTGAAAATAAGGGTTGTTCGAATAGAATGCATATGTGGTGTATCTTAGGCCACCAGCCGGGCCGCCCGGGTCACGTTGTTTGCCGGGGCGGCCCGGCCGTGCAAGGGCCAAAGGTCTCAGGCTCTCAGCAAAATTTAGGAAAAAAAAAAAAAAAAGTTTGGCAGAAAAATAAACTGAACAACCTTTGCCTCAGGGTCCCATCGAAATTCTTTACCAAATTTAAAATAAAATAAAAATATAGATAAAAAGAACATATTGTTGTCCTCTTCTCCCTGTCTGCCGACGCTTTACCGGGCAGTTCTATTTATTAGGGTTCAGCCTCCTGATGAGTCGGTGAAACTCCGACGAAACAGTTTGTCACAGCCCCTCTCGTTTGTTGTCCTCTTCTCCCTCTTGTCCCTCTCTGCCTACATAGTCAAACAGAGCTGCCCGGTAAACCGTAGGCAGAGAGGGACAAGAGGGAGAAGAGGACAACAAACGAGAGGGGCTGTGACAAACTGTTTCGTCGGAGTTTCACCGACTCGTCTATATATATATCGTCACAAACAGAACTGCCCGGTAAACCGTAGGCAGAGAGAGAGAAGAGGACATACAGCCTTTCCGTTTCTCAGATTCTCCAACATCTTCGCTTTGTTGTAGAAAACACTTTTCTGTACACTAGAGATGGCACTCTTCGAAAGCAAATCATTGGTATTCCAATGGGAACAAATGCTGGCCCAGAAATTTCCAATCTAACGCTCTATTGGGATGAAGCACGCTTTATTGGTGACATTCGTCAACATGATCCCCAAGCTGCTCAGCGATACGCCTTCACTTACCGCCTCATTGATGATGTTCTTTCATGGGGGCAATTACCTCCTC